GCTGGTGCTGCAGTTCACCGTGAAGCACGAGCAGAGCATCGACTGCGGCGGCGGCTACGTGAAGCTCTTCCCGGCGGCGCTGGAGCAGGCCGACATGCACGGGGACTCCGAGTACAACATCATGTTCGGTGCGTGCGCCGGTACCGGGGACGGCGGGTGACACCGGGGACACCGGGTGACGCTCGTGGCTCCGCCGCAGGCCCCGCTATCTGCGGCCCCGGCACCAAGAAGGTCCACGTGATCTTCAACTACAAGGGCAAGAACGTGCTCATCAACAAGGACATCCGCTGCAAGGTGGGTGGCACCGCGGGTGTCCCCGTCCCCGCGCCGCTGCCGCCGGCGCTCACGGTGTTGTCACCCGCAGGACGACGAGTTCACGCACCTGTACACCCTCATCGTGCGCCCCGACAACACCTACGAGGCGAAACAGCCGCGGGGAGAGCGGCGGCCTCGAGGACGACTGGGACTTCCTGCCCCCCAAGAAGATCAAGGACCCGGCGGCCAAGAAACCCGACGACTGGGACGAGCGCGCCAAGATCGACGACCCCGAGGACACCAAGCCCGAGGTGCGCGGCGGGGACGCCGCGGGGACGGGGACGGGTGGCACCGACCCCTTCGCGTCACGTCCGCGTCCCCGCAGGACTGGGACAAACCCGAGCACATCCCGGACCCCGACGCCAAGAAGCCGGAGGACTGGGACGAGGAGATGGACGGCGAGTGGGAGCCGCCCGTCATCCAGAACCCTGAGTACAAGGTGAGGGGACACGGCTGGCACCGTGTCACCCGTGTCACTGTGGGGGGGGGGGCGGGCCCCCCACACCCCCCCCCCGGGGCGAGTGGCGGCCGCGGCAGATCGACAACCCCGACTACAAGGGCAAGTGGGTGCACCCCGAGATCGAGAACCCCGAGTACCGGCCCGACCCGGCGCTCTACGCCTACGACAGCTTCGGGGTGCTGGGCCTCGACCTGTGGCAGGTGCGTGGGGTCGGGGGGGGATTCGGGGACCCCCCCGGGGCCGTTTGGGGTCCGTGACCCCCCGGCTGTGGCTGTAGGTGAAA